GGGGGGGGGGGGAAGGGGCGACCCACACATTGAAGGTAAGAGCAAGGGTTTTCAAAATTATTTTCGAAATAATTTCAATTTTTGAAAGAAACAGCAACATTGATAACTGAGATGAGTAGGGAATTAAATAGGTGAAGAGAAGCAGCAAAATTACAATGTACCAATAAATGTGCAAACGATCAGCAAGGTACTGTGGTAGGCATTTTATACTTCCCAGGAACTGGAAAAATGTTCCAAAGAAGAGTAAGAAGAGTTAGGGAAACAGGTGCAGAAGACCTGAGTTCCTCCTTCCAAGGTACTTCCTAGTTGGTATGAGAAGTCAAACTTAGAAATAATGTAGCCGTTACAGATTCCATGAGAAGTGTAAGTCACTTGGAGGGGTCTAGGCTTGTACCCTACTTAAAAGCTAATAAACTAGTCTGTTACGGTTTTGTGGCAGTAGTCATGAAATTCCTGAATCTTTTATTTTTTAAGAAGTTTCGTTAAAGTAGCCAGAGGTTCATGATTGCATCAGTTCCCAAGCCACCCAAATCCCACTGGGGTGATGGATGTCTGTACATGCAGTGGGTTGCATTACAGGAAAAGAATACTGTTTGGAGAATTCACTACTTTTATAGTAAGTGGAAGCAAGCCTGCTGCTTGGGAATGACACTACTTCAGCTCTGATGATTGATCACCCCAAATAACCCTCCAAAATTACTTGGATAAAGAGCAGTCAGTACCTTGCGTTCTTGGCATACCCAGCAAGAATTTGCAGGCACACTCCTGGACCATGGCAGACTGTCCCTCCCAACAGTTTGATAGGTTCATGGGACGGAGGCTGGAGGAGGCTGGGTGAATCTTAGGCAAGGCTTGAAGAAAGAACTGAGGGGGTGATGTGTAAACTGTGTTTTCTGAGGAGGAGGAAATCATCTATCAGGCCTGGGGGGACAGAAGGTATTTCAGCCTGAGACCCAGCCACAGCACAGGTGTGGAAACTTGATAGGGGGGTTGGCGTGCTCAGAAGACTTCCTACAGTCTCATTATAGCTGCAGCTGGTGTGGTTAATGTGGAGCATGGGGGTTGGAGAGCTGGGATCCGCTGAGATCAGGCTAGAAAGATAATGAACTATCTTGTTTACCTTGCTAAAGAGTCTGAATGTCATGCAGGCAATGAGGGCCCACTGAAGCTTCTTAAGCAGAGAATGCTGGTCTATGTTTTAGAATAGTCACTCTAGATTACCAGGTAGTATCTTCAACAGTCTTCTACATATTCAGACACCCTGAAAAATGACAATGAAGGGATTTTTAGAGTTATAAACCCTTAAGGGTAGACAGAAAGGTAACAAAATTCTGGAATCAAAAGCAAAGGGCTCAGCTGATTTGGAAAAGCTAAATTCTAAACCAGCAGTGATCAAACCCAGTAAGCAATCCTATTTACATCACAGAACCCCTAAAAAACTCAGAAACGGCTTCTGGAAGTAGGGTTGAAGGAGGGTAACTAAGAGGACAGATCCTTACACCACTACCCATCACCCTCACAGCCTAATTCTGGACGCCATGTTGTTCAGGAGAGGGTAAAACAGGACCTTTGTATTGTAGGACAATAAGCACAATAGGAGAATTAAGTGAAAAATTTTATACTTAATTCTGAGACTCTCTCCACCTACAATCCTTTTCTCATTTGATTATCAAACTTGCCTCATGGGCGCTAGCCAGTTTGGCTCAGTGGTTAGAGTGTTGGCCTTCGGACTGATAGGGCCCCAGGTTTGATTCCAGCCAAGGGCATGTATCTCCGTTGCAGGCTCGATCCCCGGCCCTGGTTGGGGCACATGTGGGAGGCAGCCAATGTCTCTCTCTCACATCCACGTGTGTGTCCCTCTATCTCCCCCTTCCACTCTTGAAAAAAAGCAATAGAAAAAATATTCTTTGGTGAAGATTGAAAAAAAACCACAACTTGTCTCATGGACTCAGAGCTTCCAATCAGCTTTTAAATGGCCTTTTTAAAATGCGATTTTTTTTTTTTTTTTAAATATGTCTCCATTGATTTCAGAGAGAGGAAAGGAGAGGAAGAGAGAGAGAGAGAAACATCAACGATGAGAGAGTCATGGATCAGCCGCCTCCTGCACACCCCCGACTGGGGGGATCGAGCCCACAACCCGAGCATGGGCCCCGACCGGAATCGAACCACGATTGCGTGGATCCCAGACCGATGCTCAACCGCTGAGCCACGCTTGGCTGGGCTAAATGCCCCTTTTAAATGTGAACAGCTGATCAAGGATTACCAGAGCCCCGAAGAAGCCTCTAACATGAGGTCCTAAACAGAAGAAAAAAGTAGAGATTGCAAGGGGAAAAAATTCAAAAAATATATCAGTATCAGAGTTGAAAGATGGTATTGTAATAATGAAACAGACAGGAACTCTGGCAGGAACTCAGTCAATTGAAACCAAGCAAGACTGGAAAGGCTTTAGGGAAAAGCTGACCAGACGTGAACTATGGTAGCAGTAGTGGAGATGGAGATGATAGTATTCTAAAAATGCAGATTGTAGGCCTCTCACTAGAAAACTAATTCAGAACCTCTGGGGATGGAGGTCCAGGAATCCGTAATTTTGTTTGTGTGTGTGTGTGTATTTACTATATCTTTATTGATTTCTGAGAGAGGGAGATAGAAACATCAATGATGAGAGTCATTGATGGGCTGCCTCCTGCACACCCCCACTGGGGATCAAGCCAGCATGTGCCAGGACTGGGCATCGTATCTCAATCTCCTGGGTCATACACAGATCCATGCTCAACCACTGAGGCACGCTGGAGGGAAAAGGAATCTGTAGTTCTGATGTAGCCAGCACGGCACTGGTCTAGAGACTGAGGACTGGAGACATAGGGTTTAACTGGATAGAAGAGAGTGAAAAAGGGGTGGGAAACTTAGGTTTCTTTACCAGCTAGCTAAGTGGATGAGGGTCTTGTCAACCGATGGTCATTAGCACCAATTCTATGCGAACAGGAATACCTAATTTGGGGTGGGGCGAAGGAAACTATTCAGTGCAACCAGTGATACAGCATGGCTGTGAAAACAGCACAGCAATGCAGCATCTCTGGGGCCAGAGAGTAAAACAGAGGGCCTTTCCATTGGAGGACAATAAGCACAACAGGAGAATTAAGTGAAAAATTTTAAACTTACTTCTGAGACACTCCACCTACGTCCTTTATTTGTTTGAGAAAAGAAGCACTACAGCTCCAGCTAGGGAAACCCAGTCTTCAGACTTCCATGGAAAGTGCGCTCCCTGAGGCAACAGGGGAGGGTGCTTATATAGACAGAAGCCCCACCCCTGACCCCTGATTGGCTCATACTCACGCAAATGAGGACTCTGAATCGTCACAGTTTGATTGGTCCAAAGGCACTGTCCTGATTGGTCAGAATAGAGCCACTCTGATTGGTCAGAATTGTGCAACCCGAGCAGATGGGGAAACCCTCGGTCCTATTGGTCAAAATAGGACTCCAGGAACTCCTTTATAAGGGTTGGCTCAGCCTGTGGAAACAGGGTGCCAGCGGGCAGTTTAGGAGGAAGGCAGGCTGTCCAAGGCAGAGGGTTCGCCCTGAAGTGCAGTTTGTGTGACATGTGCTTGTGCAGAAATGGCTGTTGGGCAATGATTTTTTTTCTTTGAAGCCCAGTTAGCCACCAGGAGCCCTTCTTAGTCCTCAGGGTTCACAGTATTCAGTCCCAAATATAGAAACAAAGATAAGTTACACTAGGGACCCTCCTGCCCCCTCCCGAAAAAAGACGTGATAGTTTAAGTGACTTGCAGTATATTCTGCAGAAGGTCTCACGGGCAGGTGGAGATCTCTCTTGGATTGCTGCTCCAGTTTGTCGCCAGCAACACGTCGGACACCAGAACATCCTATGCGGTTTTTCATGTATAGTTGGCCATGCTGGACTTTTTGTCCGTCTTCCCCTCCGCCAAAACAAAAAACCCCGCATTATTATTTCCTCTGCTACCTCACAGTAGTTTCAAAATAGCACCGTTATTGCCCTTGACACTTGTAGTACTTTACGTGTCTCAAACTATAATTACTCTCTTGAAAACATTTAGAGGTATAGCTTATGTAACTCCCCCTCAAATCTTTTTCTTCAGAGCTCCTGTTGAAAGCTGAAGTTTTCTTAGTTCTCGTTTAAATCCGTCTCCTAAGTAAAGCGTCAGCCTGATTATGACAGGGAATTCATTTGCAGGTTTCATCCCTGCCGTCCAGAGCAGGGTCTCAGGAAATGCGGGTGAGTGACATCCACGCGCTCTCACGTTTCACCGTGATTTCTTTTTCTTCACATCAACCCTACGACAGAGCTTTACCTCCGCCTTACGCACGTGGACGCCGCCGACCAGAATTCAGGGGTCTTGCCCAGAGCTTCCCGGCAGGTGTGAAAGGTGCAGCTCCAGGCCGGTCAGGCCCAGAGTCCTCGCAGACCCTGCCCCGAACCCAGCAAGACCCCACCGGGAGTCTGAGCCGAGAGACCTCGGCGAAGACGCCGCCAGCTCTGCCACCAGGTTGGCTCCGACGCCTCGGGGAGGGGCCGGGCGGCGCGCCGCCGTCAGCCCCGTCGCTCCCGCTGACGTCAACGCTGCGACTCCGCAGATTCCCCGGAGCGCAGGCGCCTCCCCGGTGCCCGCGCCGGCGCGCTGGGTTCCTGACGGCTTGGCGGGTGACTAGGTTTTCGCTGCGTGTGGCTCAGTGTCTGGGCGGGCTGCCAGGAGGAGGTTTGGGTAGAATCGGACCTCCCGCCCGCCCCCCAAGGCCTTCAGAGCGGGTGGTGGCTGGAGGTGGTGACCGACAGGGGTTCGTGTGGAGGAGGCAAGGTACCGCGGCACCTGGGGCTGGCAGTGCCCAGATGGGCTCAGCTGCAGGGCGACCGCCTGGCCTCTGGTTTCAGTCAGTGGTGTCCTGCGGGCTGGTGCGTGCAAAGACGAAACTGATGTGTGTGATCTCTCCTGAGTGTGTGACCTCTTCCTCTTCATTGGAAATAAGCCTCCCCCGCCTACCTGCTAGCCTGGTTTCAAAGAGCAAGTGGAAAAGTGTTTTGGAAGCTGTAAAGTGCATTGTTACTAAACGTAGTTGATAATGTAAGTTAAGAAGTTGGTGGGTACGGGGAAAATCAAGTTTCTAGGTTACTTACCTGTCTTTAAAATAGCCAGTAATCTTGGGAAAGCCCCCAAAGCAAGAGAATGTATTGACACGCCTGTGATGACTAAGTTGCAGCTTCTGCAGTTGTAAAGTAACAAATGTCTTAAACTTAATCGACCCCGTTACTTATAAAATCTGTTCACCAGATTTTGCTTTTTTTGTTTTTGTTCTTTAAAGACCCAAGAAGTGTTTGGGCATCCAATAAATACAGTATTGTTTGTTGGAGAGAATGTACTTGAAAATGAAAACCTTAAACGAAAATGGATTCTGCCTTAATTCTGTGTAGCAACCACTGGGAAACTCAAGAGTAGAAAAACATCTTAATGTATAGCTGTGTGTGATGAGCGTTGTAATTTGTTATAAAAATGGCATTAAAAAAAGAATTTAGTTCATTTTATAATCTTTCCCCTTACTTTGATGTCAAATAATTTTGGAGTATAATGTATCGAGTAGATTGTCCTCAAGTGGAAAATTAACTGTTGTATGTGTTTGCACTTAAAAATGCAATTTTTTGTAAGTAAACTACAAAGTTTTCTAAAAATGCTTTAGTATAATATATTCTATAGCGTAGACAGTTTGTAATTTATCTTCTGCAGAGAGTAGCAGAAAGTATCCTTCTGCACTGTTTCTTGTAAAGAGGTCATTCCCCATAGCATGCTATGGAAAGTCTTCCTTTTATTTACACTGATCATTTGTATGTATGAGGAAAGCTTAAAATTTTTATCTTTTGCGTCACAAAATAGCTAGTATTTTTAGAAATGCTTATTAAAAAGAAATATTGTAAGTTCTAAGGTTATCTTATATTTTTAAACTTTATATTTAGAAATCAGCATTTCCTAACCTTGTCTGTCTCAGCAGTTATAGGTTCATTTTTCTCTCTGTAAGAATGTTTTATCAATGTTCTCTAATTAATATTATTAATTAAATGACACGGATGAAAATGTATTTTGAATCAGTAGGGAAATCAGTTCAAATAAGTATGCACAAATTTTAAAAACTTGAATGATTAAAATCTTATTTGCTTTGAAATCTGGAATGTAGAGTTCAAAAAAATCACCTTTATCTTCAAGAAAATACTAGCAGTTTTGAGTTTTTAAAAAAATGGTGAGCCCAAAAATTTCTTTGATGAAATAGTTTCAAATCTTTTTTATTTAATTTGCATTGAGAAGCCCTGAGAACATTGCACTGATAGAATGTTTTATTGAGTTGTAATATTACATTTAGAGTCTAAACTTAAATGAGTTTATTGGCAATTTAAATACCAATAGAGCATGAAGAGCTTCTTAATAATTATAAAATGACTTGATGTGACCTGTGTAAAGTATTATACTAAATAGTAATTAGCAGTTTATATATAATGGACTAAAACTGGATGGATTGTGGGTAGAATTTTTCTTTTTTCTATCAAAGGTTGATTTTGCTTCCTCCCAAGTTCAGTTCCTAAACACAGACCTTATTTGCATTAATCTTTTCAAAGTCATTGTACAGGTTTTAACCACTTTATCTTCATCAATTTGTAACACTACTGAAGAAAAAATTAAGCATGTGGTGCTTTAAATTTGATTTTATTGGTTAATTATATATATACACACACACACATACATTTACATTGTGGTCAGTTGAGAGAGAATTCTATATTTCTACCTGTTTCAGCCCCATCTGTGTGTACCATTCCCCTTCCAAATTTTTTTCAGCTCTGACCCAGGATTAGGATGATCGTATCAGATTAATTCTCCACATCACTGTTCTCATAAACAATTCATAAGTTCAGAGATTCATTAATTGTATGCCTTTGATATAGTTATTTTTGTGAAGAGTGACTATATAGAAGTTTCTCTCCTTCTCCCTCTACCAGGCTCCCTAAAACTTCGTTCCCATAACACTTCTGCTACCAATGATGTTTAGATAAACTTCAGTGAAATGACTCTTCAGGAATTGGTACATCAGGCTGCCTCCATTTATTCCAGTAAAATAGCTGTATGTTTTGATGGATGTAACGACAAGCCTCCAGTCTATTACACCTACAAGACTGTGATTAATGCTGCTTCAGAATTATCAGATTTTCTGCTATTACACTGTGACTTTCAAGGAATTCGGGAAATTGGTCTGTACTGCCATCCCGGGATAAACTTACCCTCTTGGATTTTAGGGTAATATGTTTTAGAACTAAAAACTTAGTACTGTAACCTAATTTATCATTCTTTAACACATAGAATATATTGCAGGCTATTGTTCTGTTTACTATTGGATTTTTCTGTATTGCTCGGTCAATTCTAGAGAGGCTAAAGGAGTTCATATTTTCCCCAGGATTATTTTTAATTAATTCACCTGAGCTTATTTAGGAGCTACCAGAAGTTTTCGTTAATAGTAGAACCTTTCAGGGACAATGGTAGGGAGAGGGACTGGAGAGGGGGATAGGACGGGGTGGAATGGGTCATTGGGGAGAAAAAGGGACATCTGTAATATTTTAAACAAAAATAAAATTTAAAAAAAGACCACAATTACATGTGAGCATTAAAGTAAAAAAAAAAAAAATTAAACAAAAAAATAGTAGAACCTTTAAATATCTCCAGAATATAAGGACTTCATTTGTCTGCCAAAGGAAAAGTCATAAATTCTGTTCTTAGATAAAGGAAAACAAGTATTTCAGAAATACTGTGACTATATTTTTTACTCTAAGAGTGAAGTTTTAGGTATTCAAGTATTCAGGAAGTGAATGAATGAATAATTGAGAGTTTTGGATAATGCTCCATAAAAATTGAGGTATGAATTGAGATACTAATTCAAACAGATATTTGCAAAATGTTCAATTATTTAAGTTGTTCTAGAATATTATTCTCATATAGTGATTTCTATATTAGGGTTCTGCAGTAAGTAAAAGCTGTAAAGAATTAGAGAAGTTGATATTCATCCCATAATATGTGTGTTAGATTAATTATATAAATGCAAAACAAAAAATGTTTTAAAATTTTTCATTCAGTCATTGACAAAAATTTATTGAGAATTTACTATGTGCAAAGATCTAGTGTCCCCAAAGTGTACCTCAGAGTACTTTTAGTTAAAACACCTAACTTATCTTTGATCTTATTTATGCAAATATTGCTACTTACAAATCTATTTTAAAGTTTTTTTTCCCTTTAAGTCATACTGGTTTGGGTGAAATATGTCTTTTTAGTATGCAGATTAATAGACTACATACTAATGAGTTGCATGTGGATATTTAGCTTATTTTATGTTACCCTGCATAGATGAAGAAATAAAGGGTCTGCTACCTGTTTGGTATCTTAGTAGTAGCCAGTTAAACCAAGTGTATTTTACTGTAATACATCAGCTTTTAAAAAGTCTTAGATTTCTCTGTAAGTAATGAGAATTTAACATGGTAAACATTCAGGATACTCAGTCTTAAGAGTCAGATAAAAATAACTATAAACAGAAATGTGTCAACATTAGGAATTTCTGATAAAGTCAGTAGTAAAGTACATAGGGAAATAGAAATGCTTAAAGATTATTTTCAACCTATATTGTGTGCTGACTATGCTTTGTTCTTTAGAATTCTCCAAGTCCCTGCTGCTTATGCTCCCATTGATCCAGATTCACCACCAGCATCATCAACTCACTTCATGAAAAAATGTAATCTAAAGTATATTCTAGTTGAAAAACAGCAAATTAATGTAAGTGTATATATTTAAATGTTTTTTGTGGGTTACGTTATCTTTCAATTGAAGGGTCTCCCCTCTTGATTTCTAAATTTACCAAGTCTGCGGGATTTCTCAATCTCAGCATTGTTGACATTTTAAGTAAGGGAATTGTTTTTTTGTAAGGAATGTCCTGTATATTATAAGATGTTTAGCAGCATCCCTGGTTTTCAGCCACCAGATGCTAGTAGAACCCCTCCTCCCCATCCTGCAACCAAAATTGTCTCCAGATGTTACCAAATGTCTGCTGGAAGTGCCCTCCACCCCCCACACTCTGTTGAGAAACACTGCTCTATTTCATTTTGATGTAAGCAATACCAAAATGGGGGCATTACATTTGTTTTTCTTAACAACCTTGGTGAACGTTTTATAAAAGAGGTGATTGGGTGTGAGAATTAAATAATTGCTTATAGGAAGGAGTGGAGCACATACAAAACCCCATAGAAAGTACTTTACTTCCTTTTCCATAACTTTGATGATGGTATAAGTGTTCTTCCTTCACTTAGCACAGGAGCATTGGGGACGTGTACTGAGCATTTACTGTATGCCCAGCATCCACTAGAGCATTGGTTCTCAGCTGGGGATGATTTTGCCTCCCAGGAGACATTTGACAGTGTCTGGTGTTTTTTATTGTCATGATGGCAGGGGGGTG